CATCATCGACAGAGGTTCGGTCATTTTTAAAACGTGAATGCCACACCAAAGTTTGTGCACGACCCATTGCGGACTCCCCAAATGCTTGCTTTAGGATTTCATAGGTTTCCGTAGCCGTTTTGGCGAGTCTTTGGCAAAATTTGATGCACACGCCATTCCTGAAATCGCAGGAGGGTCGGTGTAATGCACTACCAAAACGCCCGTAACTAAGAAACAAATGCTAATTCGATGATGCCGGCTGGCACACTGATTCACTATGAATGTAGGCCGCACCCCCTAGCGGCAGCAGCTCGTACTACATCCGGTTCGCCCTCTATTGACAGAGTCTTGAAACTTTCCGATCGCACCTCGTACATAATTGTTAAAAATATTTTTACAAGGAAATGTAATGTATATGCTTCAGAGAATCCATAGCGCTACAACCCAGTAGTAAACAGTATACAAACATGCCAGTCTCCTATGCTGAGTGCTTAGAAATAATGGGAAAAACGTGTTGAAAATGCTTTTCATAAGAAAATGCTCACAAAGTCAACATTGAAGTAAACTTCATTTGCCTGCAATAATAACAAACTCTACCAGACTCTTTCTCCTTTTGGTATTCTCTTCATTTTGCATTTCCGAGAAATTCATCTTTGTCTGTCTTATTGTTTATTTTCCACCTCTGCAATCCTCAGTTTGTCCATGTCCCCTTTGCCGGCACAGTTATTCATCTGTTTTGAAACTTGACTTACCACTGTTACGATCCTTCGATGTTGTCACAACATCATGGACTACACCATTCTAATAACTGTGACCGCATAATATTATTAAATAATTTGTTAAGGTTTCTTTTACATCCATTGGCGCACTTTATCAATTATTAAATAATTTGTTAAGGTTTCTTGTACATCCATCGGCGCACTTTATCCGTTATATAATTGCACACTAAATTCGAGTAAAATTTCTTGTATTCATTGTTAGTTCAAAATTATTTTTCGTTTCGACATTTATATCGCAAACTTGCAAGAAAGTCCAACTCTTCTGTCTGTCTGTACCGCAAGAACTACAGTAAACTGTTCCACGAAATAATAAAACCTATGATCATGTACACATTACTTTTGGAAACGGGGCTTATCTCTGCCTGTAGCTTCTTCTAGATGAACATGAAAGGTGTGTCACTTCACTGTTTATATTTCCTTGGGTACAATACTGGAAACAAATGCTAATCGACATTTGCTGTAATACCCATAACCTTTATTCAAACATTTCTTTAGAAATCATCTTGGGGATGTTGTCTCCGCCATAACCTCAACTCGACCTAGTGACAAACGCACAGAAAATGCAACAACTTTTCTAATTTACTTCAATAAGAGAGTGAGGTTTGTTATATCGACAGTCACATAAACACGTATTTCTCTTCCAGACGAGAACACAGAAATCCGGATGAAAATTATTATTCTTACGGTTACAAGGTTAGGCCAATAAATAACCTGTTTTAGCCTTAATATTACAACCATCTCGAGCTCTCTTTAATGGCTGTCCAGACCTCATCTTCCAACCGATCAGTGTCCAATTGTTTTGGATATCCAATGTTGTTTATCCTTGTAAAATGATCTAACAAGTTTCGTGTAGCTATTCTGTGCTGATTTCTTTAGGATTTGGTCCATACCCAATTTTCTAAAATACTGTCACTTATTGTATGACAATAATTTGCCCTAATGTACATCTCATGAAATTAATTTCCCCTGTCTACATCGTCTCTGTTTAAATGTTCAGATTTCACAGCCACATAGAAATTATAAGATTTGGTAAATATATAATTTCAATTGAGACCTTCTTTAAATTAAATTTGGTCTTTAAAATATGTAATAAAAATATGTGGACGTGTTCATTTATTTCAACATTTATTATGATTTTGCTTCCGATTTTAGCGGAGATTCTTGATCCATTAGAATTTAAAGTAACAGCAGCTGATAAAATTATCGCTGAAATACAGTTTAGAAGGAATTTAGAAAGAGAAGTTCACCAGGTGCACAGAATTTCTTCAACAATTTATTGCAGATACATGTGTTTGGAACGTCACAGTTTATTACACACAAAAAACGTAAAACAGTAAATGGGTAGATAAATTTTGATTATCATACATCTTATAAGATTCTTAGCTTCGTATAGGCCATTAGACAAAAATTCTAAATGGCGAGAAACGGAAAGTCGATAATGCAGTTAAAGGAATTCCTACATCTCGGATAAACTTGAATAATTATGCATATGGAATGGTTTAAGATAGACGAATTAAGATAATGTTAAATTGTATATCTAGAGAGAAGATAAAACAGGGATTCTGAGGCTGATACAGACGTGAAATAGCATTAATCCTTAAAGACAAGAACGGAAACAAATAAACTTAAAATTCTCTCAATAGGATTTGAGATTTTCACGGCGGTGAGTAAGAAGTTGGCTGTCTTCTGGATTGTGTGGTCTGGTAGAAGTTTGCCAACGTTTGAAAAGTCATTGCTGCAACCATCATCAGGGCGATGAAT